TTGGTATTATTATGGCAGAAATATCTACAGGAAGACCACCTCATTACGATATTGAGTATGATGAAGCGTTGGCTATTAAAATATGTAAAGGATTACGTCCTGAATTTGCTAAAGACACTCCTGAATGCTATATCAAATTAGCAAATCAATGTATGGATGCTAATCCTTTTAATAGACCGACTGCATTCAATATCTATAATATATTGTCTGAATGGTATAGAATAGTAAATGATAGAGAGGCATATAATGAAAATGAATTAGCAATATTAAAAGCGTTCCAATCTGCAGATGCAGTTATTCCAACGTTATCAACCGAATTGCCAAATTGTCCTAAAGATAAACTTACGAGTAAACTGCTTAACTTCAAAAATCTTTCTGAACCAATAAATTCTTCATTTATTTCACCTGTAAAATCGTTAAATACCAACATATACACATTTTTTACTGCATCATGAGTTAGTCCATACACTTTAAATTCACCATTTTTTAACAGTACATAATCTATAAACTTATTAAATAATGTATATATAATATGAATTTAAAAAAATATAATACTGTATAATAAGTTAAATACTTTAACTTACTTCTTTTAACATATCTATTAAATTTGGTGAGCTAGTTAATGTTTTAAGCTCCACCTTATATGATGGCATACGTGACTGTGTATATCTATATCCATATTCGGCTTCTTCATTATAATTTACATAACGTATTCCATCTAACCAGGTTGCTAAACATCTATCACCAATCATTTGAATACTATCAAATCTATTAAAAGGAATCCACTCGATCACATTTTCATATTCAGTGGCTTTAAGTTGAAATTCTTTAATACAATCATCGATATCCTTATTTCCACTTGTCCATCTTTGTGTTATTTTCTGAGGGTCACATGTTCGACACCAAGCGTAAGACGTGTTGTATCGGTTGCAATTTGCACATTTTCCATGAATTTCATGTCTATTAGAATCAAATTCATCAAATATTAACATATATTCATTGGTTGTAGTGTTTTGAGTTAATCCAAAGACATTTTCACTTTCTAATTGCAAATGATTTTTAAACTTATATAAAAATTTACATTAATAAATGTTAGTACATAACTTTAATTAAATAATCTACGTATAATAAAATAATCTTACTTCTTTTAAAACATTTAATAAACTTTGTGAACTAGCCAATGTTTTAAGCTCTACTTTATATGATGGTATACGTGACTGTATATATATATATTCACTTTGTTCACTTTTAAATTCTGCATAACGTTTTCCATCTAACCAGATTGCTGAAAATGCATCTCCAACCTTCTGAGCGTTATCTAATCTATTAAATGGAAT